AAGGTGTTAAACTTGGAGGCTTTGTCATCAAAGCTCTTTTGTATGCAGATGATGTCATATTACTAGCACGTGATGCCACTAGTTTACAGAAACACCTCGACACTTTGGCTAGCTTTTGTACTCAAAATCAGATGGAAGTCAATTTGGAGAAGTCCAAAGTCATTCTTTCTGTTACAAAGGATTAGAGTTGGAACAAGTGAAAAGTTACAAATATTTGGGCATTGATTTCTCATCTAATTATAGTTGGGCACTTTGTGTGCAAAAGAGGGTAGAAGCTGGTTTCAAAGCTCTGTATTCATTGCTAAATAGATGTAGAGGAGCTCATCTAGTGTCTTGGAGTCTTAGGAAATTCTTATTCAGGAGCTTAGTGTTTCCCGTTATCTTATATGGAACACAAGTGTGGGGTCCTGGTTGTAAGAAGACAGGTTGGCAGCGTTTGGAGAGGGTGCAAAAGATCTTCTTACAAGAAGAATTGGGTGTGAGGACCCAAACTTCTTATGCAATTTTTCTTGCGGAAACAGGTTGTCTACCTCTTGAGGCTGAAGCTCTCTTTTTGACTATCACTTACGTCAAAAGAGTGAGATCTCTTGATGCTTCTTGACTTCCTCTTGAAGCTTTGCGTGCCACACGTGCCAAGGGTTGGTTTGCAGATGTGGTGACTTGGTCTTTGAGGTGGAATGTGACGGAACTCGATTGGAATTTGCAACCTATTGCCCTACGCGAGCGTATTAAGGAGGAATTTCTCAGCATTATGTGGAGCACACGAGGCACCAAGATGCAGTTTTATCAACTTCATGTGAATCCTATGCTTGTTTATTGTGAGCAAGGATATTTACTTGCAGAGATATCTACTTCTTTACGTCATATTATTGCTAGACATAGAACTGGATCTCATAGTCTTGGGATTGAAGAAGGGCGTTGGTTGAACATTGATAGGAGTGAACGTATTTGTAGACTATGTGATGGAAGAAAAGTTGAGGATGAAGAGCATGTATTTCTTACTTGTTCTAGGTATGTAGAGATTCGAGTGGCCCATAAAGTTGATGTCGAGAATTTCTTTTCTCTGCTTCAACTCGAGCCTTATGATTTAGGTTGTTACATTAGGGATATTATTAGTTACCGTTCTAGTGCTTTGGGCACTAGCTAGGGGGTTCTTTTGGTTCTCTCCTAGTTTGGAGTTGGATTGTTTGTATTGTGTTTTTTAGCCTTTTGACCCTTTGGGTCCCACGGGCTTGATCTATTTACCATTTACCATTTACCATTATTTCTAAGCGAGAGATTCTAGATAGAATCCTAACACAATGTCACTATTTATACAAGATTTAACTAGAACTAAATCGTATCCATAATATGATAGAGTAATAACATAAAGAGTTAACTAAAAAATCTGCTTGCATAGAAGTATCAGAGATTTCGTAATCTATATAATTACTACTCGATAAGTTCTAAAAAGAAACCTAATACAAGCTCTCTCTTTACACAAAAGTTAATTAGAACTAAAACGTAGTCATCACAGGAAAGAGTAAATGTATAAAGAGATAACTGAATTTACTATGCTAGCAAATTCTACATTTGCTCCCAATGCATAACCTGCAAGATAGCAAAGTATCGCCTAAAACTCTACAAACTAAGTGTGGAGAATTTGAAATGTGATGCCAAAGGAGTACATACTTATTGGAAATCGACCATGTTGAATTTGTCAAGTGTACGACGAACATACTTGCCCTAACTCAACCATAGTCTATTATGTTCAAGATCCCTATGAATCTCCATGCCTAATGTTCTCTTCGACTCCCATATATTCTTCATCTTAAATGCAGACTTCAACTTACTCTTGCATTCATCAACATCAAATTGGTTTTTTGCCAAGATGAGCATGTCGTCAACGTAAAATACTAGATTGATGAGATTGAACGTCTCATCATTTACATTCTTCATGTAGACACAAATATCATACACGCTCCGTATAAAAACCTTGTGCCTTCATGAACTCATCAAATCGCGTGTTTCATTGACTAGAAGCTTGCTTTAGTCCATACAATGATTTCAACAATCTACAAACCAATCTCTTTTTGATTTTGATCTCAAAGCCAACAGATTGTCTCATATAAATCTCCTCCTCTAAATATCTATAGAGAAAGGTTATAAATATCCATAAGGTGCACCTCTTTGCCTAGGGGTGATGGAGAAGAGCATGTCGTTCGGGGGGCCGCCGCTGCCCTAACCCTGCGCGGAGCACTGCTACCCAAACTAAGTGCGGAGGGAAAGCACGCTTGACTCGACTTCGCACCGCTGCTCAGATGTATGCACCGCCGTTGTGTTTGCTAACCTAGTCATCAGTGCAGGGCTCTCAAATCTAGCAGCCTCGACGACTTCCTTCACTACGCAAATTTGCATTGGACTGTGGCGAATTGATGATGAATTGATGAATGTCTTCGCTACTTGTGGGTAGGCAATGTGCGAGTCTAATCTCACGTCCACAAGGTAGTTCGAGTGCGAATGATTTTTTTTGCCACCTCTCCGTCCTTAAGAAAATTATTGCTTCCAACGAATAGTCTGCAGATTGAAAAGAAACAAGCACATCCAGTTTCCAAATTTCTCGAAGTTCTCAACTTTGAAACATATCTGTTAGTATACAAGTGTCAGTTTCAAAATCTTCAAGAAAAGTTCAATGACTGATCAAATCAAAACATTTTATTTACAGATTCAACGGAACGATTTCAATGTCATAAACTTTCAAAAAATTTGTAAAATGCGATACTAGTCTGAAAAATTTTGAAACTAAGAAGCACTCAGTCTCAAAACTGAAAAAAAAGTGATAACACTGTCAAAAAAACAATCTGACATAGAGTCCAAATTTTTTTAAAAAAAACTTAAGATTTTTGAAACTCTAGACTGAAAATTGTCTACAAAGTTCAAAAAAACCACTGAGACTACAAAAGTTGTCGACAGAATTCGGAAACCAAAAAAAGACGTCGACAAGATTCAAGAAACTGAAAAATTGAAAACTTTTTCCAATAACAAACTTTCAAAAAAATAAAACAGAATTTTCACTGTAAATGTAAGTGGAAAACACCCAACCAAAAACTTGAATCCTACTTCGATTCTTATTCTTAAACGTAAAACCAAGAGTAATTCAAACCAAGTACAAACACACAAGACACTTATATAACATGGTTCATCCTCAAGGGCTACGTTCACGTCTGAAACACGCGAGAAGTTTTACTGACAATTGAATGCACAACTCCGCGTAGAAGCCTTGAAGTTATATATATACCCAACACCAGCGACATACCTAGCTTTAAATAGTTATAACTTGAGGTTATTCCTTAACTTGAGTTAACCTCAACATCAAATATTTAGATATTTTTATGGATTGAATTTCAAAAATGAGTAATAAAACTTTAATATTTTTTTATTTGGATCAAATTTTCTTGCAAAATAACAATATTTTAAATATTGTCTCACATTCATAAATTTTGAATATCTTTTATCAAAAATTATGTATCATCTATATTCAATTAAATGTCATACGTATTTTTTTTATAACATATATTCATTATTTTGCATTATGTGATTTGAATTAATTAGGATATTTTTTGAGATATTTATTTATTTTGATTCATTCTACAACAATCATATAAACTAAATTTGACTATCATAGATTTGATGTTTATTTCTTTGATCAATGCGAACATTGTGTATCATTTAAATCAAAATATATGTTCATTACAATATCTATATTGCAAAATTTTTTAATATCATTGAATGTGCATTTATTTAACTATAAAAAATTTTCTGCTAAGTTTGAAATACAAGAATAAAATTTGAATAAAATTTTTATCTATTGATTCATACATTTTTTCAAACTTACGAAATGATTGCACATAATTGAAAATTGTTAACAGAAAAAAAGTTAATACTTTTTTCCTTCATATTTATTTAGTAACCTAAATATCTTACAAAAAATTCATGTTTGAGCTGATAAAATTTTTGAAGCATGGATATTTAATTGCATCACATGAAATTATTTTTAGTGACATTTTTATGTTAAGAGATATTTTTGATCATAAGATTGATTCTGACCAATAATTTTTTTTAATTTTTTTGGAAATATTTATTTCCAATTATGATTTCAGGTTAATTCATATAAAAATCCATGCATGAATCTGAATATGAAATTTAATCTTTCATTAACACTATTACAACTATCAAAAGATGCTTGGAGACTAGAACTAGAACAAAATTAACATTTTTTATCCACCTATTATGATGATATATTCATTGATGGATCAATGAATATAAACACAAGTTAGTGAAATCTATCATGTTCAATTAGCAATTTTTTATTCAAAACTCCAATTTTTTGTATAACTGAATGTAACATGTTGGTATATAAATCTGAAATATATTTAATAATGACGGTTCCGCATTGGCTTGGTAAGGTCATTCTCAAACATAATTTTTTTTACTTAAAACACAACATACTTCAAACTTAATACAATTTTTATATCTATGACTAAGAAGAATTGATGTATATAAAGTGATACGAGTTTTATCACTTGAGGATGCACAAAAAGCTTCGTATAAGAACCGACACAAAATATCAATGAGATGTGGAAATTAGATAGAAGATCTTAGAACACATGGCGTCACCTTGTCGGACAGATAGTAATTGCAACGATGGGAAGACAGACTTTTCACAAAGTGATCACTCGAGTTAAACTCTCGCCACTGTACGTACAACATACGTACAGTACTGTCGAACTTTTGCTGATACTCGCACAGATTCGTGGTAGGCATCTGGCGTAAGCAGTCCAATTCATGAACGAAGCGGGGATTCCACGTCGGACAAGGCCACGTGGTCAGGTTCGCTGTAGGAAGACCACAGGCCACGTGGCAAGTGTAAGGCTAGCGAGGGAGGGCCGCGAAAGGAAGGGAAGGGAAGGGAAGGGAATAGAAGCACAGTCAGAGGAAAAGAAAGAAACAGAGAAGTGGGGGAGTAATAGGCCATTCTGACGGTGAAGCTCTTGGGGTCTGGAGATTGACGACGAAGGACGATGAGGTGGCGGACTGCGCTGAAAACGACGAGAAGACGAGAGTTTGAGTGCTGGACGTCTGGAGAGAGGGAGATCGGAGCTTGAAAGAGTATACTTATCGAGCAATTCGTTGTTGCTGGAAAGGAGGAGGAGGAGGAGGAGGAGGGAGGCGTCTGGTCTGCCCGATCTCCCAGGAGGAGTATGAGCTATGGCGATGCTGCCACAGCTTATCCCTCCTTTCCGTTACGCGATTGTGGAGGAGTCCTTCTTCAGGTGAGTTGCTTGGAAGTTTGTCATCTGTCTGTAGGCTGGATGAATCATGAATCATGCTAGAGAGAGACGAAGGGTCGTGAGAACTTTTGTGAGTGATACTTGAGTGGGAATTTGTTGTTGCAACAGAGGAGCGTATCCGACCATCAAGAATTACAGATTTCTGAGGAGGCTGCACTTGAAGACCATCGTGTCCTTGACTCCCGAACCTCATCCCAATCGAGACATGCGTGAATTTTGTGAGCATGAAGGCATAACGAATCGTCACTTCTACGTGGACAAGTTCCAGGTACGTTGGAATCTCAGTCGGGTGAAATTAGAAGAGCGTACGTTTACTCTTTCCCGTCTCGATGACAACCTCCACCTCTAATCAGGATGCTGCTTTAAGCAAAGGACGAACCGTTCAACTAGAATCCTGGGGTAAAAAAATGCTGAACCTGTGAACTTTTAGCTCAATATCTCCATGCTCCTGGTGTGTTAAATTTGATCCGCCTCCGTTAATCCACTGATCATATCACGCCACGTTCCTCAGACATAATCCAAGTGAACCAGTTTTTCTTATTTCTGTAATCCAACAGTTTGTATCACATCCCAGTGACTATGAGCAGCCACCAACTTCTCTAAGCTAATCTCAGTCAGAGTTATTGTCACCGCCTCAGCTGATTTCCTAGCGCTTGCTTGCTCATGACAGGTGAAAACTGGGGCTTGCTTTATTGCAGGATGTTGTGACTCTCAGCAACGCTAAGGTATTGCAGATTTTGCAAATAATCATTCGTCCCGAGAATTTACCACTTTATCTCCACTGTCTTGACGGAACGCACGTTGCGGGTCTAGTGGTAAGTCGCTTTTTAACCCCTTTTTCTCTTTGCTATGGGAATTGTAATAAAACATTTCAACCAGGAAGTAGGCTTTGGACAAAATTATCGATTACTAGCTTTCGAAACTAGTGTAAGAGCACATGTCAGATTGTGATACTGTAGTATAAGTATGGTGGTTTGATTGTCTTTTGTGAAGATGGAGTTGATTTTGTAAGTATAATATAGAAGACAACAAGTCAGTGTTTCCTTTTAGGGTTTTCCAGAAAAGAATCAGGAACTTCAAACTTATGTGTTTGCATCTTTGCATGAGCCTTTGTGGCAAGCATAGCCCGGTCGTCACACCTATGAGCTAGTCTCGCGCAGATTGCATGCTTGCAGAGCAGATTCAGCCTCATTTGTTGCCGTCGATTATAAAATGATCGTAATTTGCCACCCATTCGGCCGTTTACCCTGTCCTTATACACCCTGCTTGCTGGATTTCTTTATTGTATTGATTCCCTACGAGTATGTTCTTACAACCGATTTCTGAGACAGCCATGTTATTGAGTGGTTCGCAGGTGATGTGTTTTCGGAAGCTCCAGAGTTGGAATTTATCAACTTCAGCAGCCGAATTCTGCAGCTTTCAAAAGTCAGGCGAAATATCGCGTGAGGAGTCGCAGTTTGTGGAAGCCTTCAAAGGAGAAATCGAAATACCTCCTGTGATTCCCAATTGGCTGTGGCAGGTATGTTCTTCATACCTACTGAAGCCTTAGGTTTGAGGCTCGAATGAATGCTGTCAACTTCTATGAGACATGGTCTCATATTTGAACGAAATATCATTGCAGTAGTAGACATATCAAGCTCACCATGTTTATATCCCGAGTGTCTGGTAGAAGGTTTGAACCACTCTAATGAGGATATTTTTGTCCTACCTCGTTACATGGAGTATGTTTTCGGGAGTTTTCCCGTGGGTGACGGTGACTAAACATACTGGTCTCGTGAATTGTTGCCATTTAAAAGATATCATTCGATAGCGGCCCGACCGGTTGTTGTAAATAGAATCTGATCACTGCGACATAATACTCGTTTTCACTGGTCTAGTACCATGGCTCTTCTGGCACCCCCTGAAGCGGATGGTTTGGTTTTGTTGTTAGTAAACCGAGACTCATATGTACAGGAAGATGATTCTGGCAGGTAAAGTCTGACAAACTTGATGTTTCAACAGGGAGTTCGTACTGTCAAACACCCTACTTTCCGTTTGCGGTTGCTCCCATCGCCTATAAGCAACGAGCATAATGAAGAAGAAGTGGTCTCGCACAGCAGTAAAAATGGAGATCGTATGTTTGAGAGTGGAAGTTTGCCGAATTACCAGACGGGTAGTTTAGGCTCTACGATTGGACTGGATAGTAATGGCAGGCATCGGGGTGTCAATGGTTTGGCTGCACTTGTCAATGTGGGCGGTCCCTTGAGTAGGTTGACAATAAGTGGACAGGGGAATTCCGATACCACAGGGGGTGGAGTGATATATGGAGCCGGGGAAACCGAAGATCGAGGGCGATATCGAGGTAGGACAAGAAGTAAAGGTTCAGGATTGTTGTCTACGTCTGGAAATGGACACGAGGAAAGTGGTGTGATCGGAGGTGGGAGTGTCTATAAGTCTCCGAAACTGAAAGCATCTGAAAGAAATGGGAAACGACGGGCAGTAGCGGTCGCAAGGTTTTCGCACGATGGATGGGGCCTCCAGTACACTGAACGCAAACGAACTTTGGAGGTATGATCCAAGCAAACAAGTAGGGCCGTCCTCGCATGTTCAGGATATTGAGATTGATCCAAATATCATCTGTTGGCCTCGTTTGAAAGTCACCTAAAGCTGTTGTGAGAAAGGACTTGGTCTAGAGTAGTTCAAGTGGGCGAAATTTTTTTCAACTCATTGCATGTGATGGGCAATGCTTAGAAGTCCTCTTTAATTGTGCTTCAGGCTTTGGCGCTTGAAGGCTTGAGAGTTGTTGGTCCTGGACGTTCATCCAAGTTGCCTGTACTTCCACGACGCTCACCTGCTCTATCGCACAGTAGGTTTCTTTTCCAAGAAAGTTTGGAGTTGTTTATTTCATCAAAGTTTTAAAATTTTAAAAATTCTAATTCGGGTCGGAAAGGATACCGTAGGGCACCAAGAAAAGTCCGGAGTAAAGTTGCTTCCTTTACGAGCGGAAAAGTGGAGAAAGTGATGCCTATGATTCTGTATTGAACAACGCGGGAAGCTCAGTTGTGGCAGAAATGCACTGAAATGGACAATGTACATCTCAGCACTGCTATTGTGATACTAGATTTGATAAATATGAGCGGGATACGATAGAGATGCGTTGGCTTTTGCTTATTTATTCTTGCCATGACTGAGGAAAACCTCTTTTGTTTTGGCAGGAAAACCTCATCCCTTCCATACCAAAGTTGCAATGCTCAATACTGAGGAGTGGAACGTACAAAGGTGACTGCTACGTGTCAGTTGTCAGGAAAGGAGACAGCGCAAACGCATCCCTGATCGCGAGCAGGAAATTATTGATTTTTCGACTCTAAGCATGTTTTTGCTCTGATTAGTTTCCAAATCGGAGAATATGGGTTTTATGGAATGTGAGATGGATGTTGTCATACTTCATGCTTAGAATAGTTATACCTCGACGGTTGTGAAATACTGTTGTGTATCACGGTAAATGGCCCGATACACTCTTGTCCATTAGATTTGCACTTTAGACTTTTGACTTCAAGGCTTCACTAAGCGGCGCAGCACCTAGAAGTAGTATTGATCCTATTTTCAAAGATAGAGAAGGGTTATCGTAGGAGTTGTAGTGGTCCTACGATCACAGTTTGTGGATCATGAAGTTTTCTAGGATGGTGACATACACCGGCCACCTGGAATTAATCACGGTGGCCGGGCATCTGCTAGTTGACAGCACTTCACTTCAGCCACGTTCAAGAATTATCTCTTTTCAGACATGGCCGCTGAAGGGTTGATGAGCAACGTTTGTAGATATAATAAAGCGTATCTGGCATGATGGTATGCTTCAAATGCACATTATCCATAGAACGTTTTGATATGTTGATTTTCATACCTTGTAGAAGTCTATGAGCAAGTAGTAGGTCATGATGCTGAGACAAACCACGGCTTAGTTTTAATGCTTGGAAATTTTTTGTCGCGGACCCAAAATTCTTTCTTACTACGCATCATTGTACATCCCAGTTCTAAGACTTCAGGAGTGTCTGTCAATTACATATTTTCCTTTCAACTTGCTGCATTTCTAGTTGCGCTCGACAATGTTTATAGTACCCGTTGTGTGACATTGATGACATGTGGCTAGTTTGGCCCAAGGTCGTCTTGATCTCGTATTGGATTACTAAAGAGGCCTGCCTCAGGTTTCTGCCTTCTTTCTCTTAATTATGAACCTACTTGTCCAAAACAAAATATTAGTTTTTGAAGAAAATGATCTACTTGTTTAACATCTACTTACAATCCTCCAGCGGTAGTTAGGAGTAGGATCCTGTCCTTTAAGCAACTAGAGAAAGTTTTCGGGCTTTGTTTCTGTCCGGTCTGTCGGATTCAAGGAACCTCATCGTAAGATCACCCAGAAATTGTGTCTGCAATTAATGTATCTGTCCTGTAGAAAGCACCTCTACCGTAAGTAGTGAAGGCAAAGCACAAAAAAAAGACAAAAGTAGAGTGGGTGGGGAGCTGAGCTTCATCTTAACAGTAGGAAACCCGTCTAAATGACTGCAACTGTGCTGCCTGCATTGTGATAGACAAGCTCTGCCACGGCCAGTCTTAACTTCTCAACTTCTACCGAGAGATTCATCTACAGGAGAACGGACTTTGTCTCTCAAGTCAGTTCATGTAGAAAAGTCTTTCCTCATCAGTTCAAGCAATAGAGGGAGTAAGGTCCAGGATATTATCGGTAACAGACACGTGAATCGAGGGCATGACTTTAATCAATCAATAATTAGTCGATGCCAACCGCCCTCACACCGTTGTGCTCTTGGTAATAGAACTAACTAATGGGGCATGGTCACGTGATCCTTTGCGGGAAGCTAGCAGATGTGAAGACTTAAGAAAGACTCTGCAGAAGTGGAGTGGAAAGGGAACTCATGGTCGAAATTCAGAGCCTGTCTGTAGCCTAACATGGGGTAGCACGGTGCATGCTGGCATCGAAGTTCAGACTGAAGAACCAATATATTCCACACGTATAGGGTTAGATCTCCATATGACAGAAAAGAAAGTTGAGTTTTCACTAGCTTTTTGTCCGTCCACTTGAAGGTCCTTCTTCCACTGTACTTTTCATGATATGCCAAGTGGATAGACACTGTTCGACCCCAAAGAGCGATATTTTGTACTCTTGGTCTGCATTCTCATATCATGTGCTCCGATACAGCTATTCAAGGCCCTTCGGCGTGAACAAACCTACAAACAAAATTAGATGTACGTCGATATTCGTGTGCTCTCGGCCACTGCCGACAGAGCAAGTCGATCGGTGTGACATGTTTGAAAAGTATGTGACTAATATTTGGTTTTGATCGCCCTTGTCACCCGTTAAATAGCCACAAATCCATTATCGTATTTCGAGTGGTCTTAGCTGAATTCGACCAGAGTCCGTGCTCGAGGAATTGTGTTTCCAAAGCTTTGCAAAGCTTTCGAGCTTGAAGTGATTGTGTATTGACAATTGATTGAAGTATCGGAATGTGAATCGACTTCGTGAGGACTTTTCGCCTTCGTTCACAATGAGGAGAAGGTTGAGAGGATCTGAGGAGATGGTACTCCTATGAAAGCGGTGTCGAGAACAGACCCAAGAATCACAGGCATGTGAATCCCATGACAGGGTCTATATAAAAGTAGAGAGAATCCTCGCGCATCTGATTGCATGCATGCAAACTTAATAACAGGCGCCCCTTGTACGAGGAAAGGCATCGGTTGGGAAGAGGACTACAACTCACGCTGACTCGTGATCCTTCTTTATCTCTGCCCGGACCACCTGAGTGACTACAGTGAGTTCATGGAGGAAAGGCATGATGCAGCAATCCGCTTTCTTTGATCTTCATTACTTTGTTAGTTTGGTGAGTACTAGAAGCAGCCTGCTGAGAGACTTTCAGGTGAAGATTCACCGAAGCCCTTTTATTCCCTAGCCTGAGATTCCCTACTCCCTATTCCCTACAAAAGCCATGGCGCAACAAAAGGGCATAATGTAGCGGGAATTGAGTATTGACGGATTCATCAGATGATCACAACAAGACGCTAGATTGGGCTAGAACAGCCATGGAATTCCATAAATGCGATTATTGCACTTGCAGATCATCCTCGAACGGCACAGAGATCGGGGCCCGGGTGGGGCATGTCAAATCACACTTGATATTATACTAGAGATGAAATGGGTTCTGTGGAAGCACTCCCAAATTCCACAGCTCCGACTCTATATTCTTCGCTTCAGCATGTGCAGTCCTTCACTTCGTGCACAATTTTCCATGGGATAAACTCACGCCATAGACACCTGGTGCACATTGCCCTGAAGTCAGACAGTCGACCGCCACACGCATTGAAATATCCATTGCCTGCGCTATATGTCCATCATCTACCTTCTTGAATCTTGGTTTCTCAACTTCGGTGTCATAAGTAAAAAATAAAGTCATGAAGTCCTTGACTGCTAGCCATTGGCTTGGAGACTTTTTGTCCTTCTGTGTCCTTGTTGTCAATGGTCAGGCCCCAGCCTTTGAACCGAATAAGCTACAAAGGTTGTGATGATGGTCTCCACTGGTCAGCAAATTCTAGAAGCTTGATGACAATTTTGCTCGGAAAATTGGCATCAAGCTGAAAGAATAAATGAATACATCAATCAACATGATACAATATCCATGAACCAAGTGAATTGAATACTAGAATAACCAAATCGTTCCATATTGGATGGAGCCTCTTGTCGCAAATCGGTGTTAATCTTCCACATAAAATCAATTTAGACAAGTAGACAAGTGATATATTGTATGTTAGATAGTTTTACTCTCACACATATGATAGATGATCTTTCTATGGAGACATGCAAGGAGTTCATTTGCTTCGTTTGCCATCCTACATGGATTGAATGAAAGTCCAAACCTTCTTTGCTCTTTCTAAATGAATAGACTAGCTCTAATCATACATGGCTCATATATGCTCTTAATCATGGAGGGGTGGGTGGATCTTGATTCCAATGTATATCATAATTTTGACGCACACCATTCATTTTCAATTTCATTTTTTGTGCAACCATCCTAGATGCAAGAGGATCTTTGTGACTTGTTGTTTATTCAAGATACATGACATAGTTACATTAAAATATAATGGACATCAAAGATAAATGGTAAATGGTAAATAGATCAAGCCCGTGGTACCCAAAGGGTCAAAAGGCTAAAAAACACATAAGCGTTTGAGTTGCAGTCAACTCAAGTAAGGTCATACACATACATAGTTTAGGAAGATGAAATTGTTGTCTCAAATATTGTGATTATAAACCTTACATATCTTATAAAAATGGAGAAGACATCATCCATCATCCATCATATTATAGGATACTAATTGGAGATTTAACAATTGAGTACTTTAATCTTAGGGGTTTGAAGAAAATTAAACAACTTTTTCTAACATTCAAGTTATATAAAGCTATGTATGGCCTGATGAGCATGTTCGAGAGTAAAACATTACCAAATTTTGTGAAATATTTATTAAAGTTCTCCTCATGTTATGTATTTCAAATGAAGTGTATCATTGATGTGGAGAGAACTCTGGAGATGAGATCTATAGAAGAAACTTAATTGTAGAATAAACAACTTGAATGCTCGAGTTTGATCAGATAATTTGGAATTATTATATACAAGTGGACATATTTACTAATGTGATTCAGTTTAGCCTAGTCCCATCCTACCCCTTGATTTCTTCCCTTACACTTCGTTGTGGGGTCTTTCTTCCCTTACACTTCGTTGTGGGGTCTTCCATTCTTTTGCTATATATATATATTCTTTGTGGTGTACCCACAAGAATATATAAATGTTTTTCGGATTTTCGATTTGAGGCTATGAAAAATATGAGCCCCTGTTTCCAAACAAAAATTTGAAGTACAAAATCTGAATGCCGAGGCCTCCCTGAATAACCCGGATCGTCATCGCTGGAAAATAACTGCAGAGAATATGCATCCATTCAGAAGAGAGTAAGTCATGAGATTTTCGGCAGACGAGCAAGAATCAAAGTAAAGTGACCAAGACTTCAGGCCACATCCGATCCATGATCACCAAATTAAATACGAGGCCGGAGCTCCAGCGGTCATACACTTCCCACCTCCAGAATGTGTCAGCACTTCAAGCAACCGACCCATCCAGCTGCTGACGTGAAGTCAGCAGCTGGATGGGTCAGCATCCGACAGTTTCTTACCGCACGCAGCACCGGATTTCCGCTTCTCTTATGGAGCCGGACGTCAGCATCGACTGCACAAAAATCCATGGAAGAACTGAAAAGGGAGTGAAGTTAACGGACCTGCGAAGTGAAAAGAGAATTTACGTAGATGGAAATTCAGGGTTTCCATCTAAGTCCGCAGAGAGGGTGCCGCCCGCCGTAATCTCCAGACTATCTCGACGGAAATAAATAGTCATTTCTTTCACCGGGAGCGGCGAAGGACTGCAGCCGATAGATCGATCGTCGGTGGAGGACACCGCAAGAGCGTCGTTATTGCGGGCCTTTACAGACACGTACAATGAATGCGGCACAACATCTGGTCCTCTGGCTCAGGACCTTCCGGTGACGGCATCGTTTATCTGGCCAGCTATAGAACCGTTAGCAGTGCCACTTGCGTCGCGACGCGGTGCCTGGGGACATGGGAAAGCGCTCGGACTTTCGGCACGAGATTGTCCTCGCCCAGATTCCGAGCACTGTCATCGTTTGGCGACGCCCATTCGACAAGTCGTCGACCGATCGACGAACCTTCCCGAGAGAGGATCTTCTCCGAAGACTGATGTAACTGATAGATTAGAACGAGATTCTTCAATAGATTTTTCATCTGAAAATTTCGACTGACATTTTCCTGCTTTCTGATATGCGACAACTCTCGACTTCGATGATGTTCGAGGTGCGACATCGCAATTATATCAGATTCTTCATCTTGGAAAATGTGTGTATAATTACTATGTAGGACGTTTCCGCTTTAGATGTTGCCCCCACGTTATCATGTTGGAAAGTCCTTGCAATGGTTTAGTACACATATGACAAGTTGGGCAATTTCGTTTGCAATATGTATGTACTGCGGAACCGGATTTGATGTTCTGGCAACGCTAGGATGGGAGTTCTATCGACATTGTGGTAAAATGCTTGCATAGTTAATAACAGTTTCACAAAAGGTTGGAACTTGATTATGTTTCTTATGAAGTTAAAATTTTCTGCGATCGGCAAACGAAGAGCACTTTCAGTCCGAAGAGCAAACCAGAAAATATGCAAATTTTAACGCTCGCATCAGTCATGGCAGAGGCTTGTGCTGTTGAGAAGTTCTTTCCCAAATCTAGTAGTTTGTGTACAATCTCGCGCCAGTCTCGTTCTTCTCTTTTCGAGGGAAAGGGGGAGGAGGTGCTTACTGGGCTCGCATACATCTTGCTTTTTTATATAGTGGCATGTTGTACAAGCACGAGCTCTGTATCGCTGGACAATGATATCGGGACTAGAATGAGGGAAAGCAGAAAAGGAAAGGAAACCTAACTGCAAGGTCAAAAGTCAAAGATCCTACAATCTGGCCTTCACTTCTGAATATCTCCTAGAGAAAAGTGCAGAGAACACGGGAATTAACTCACATGTAACATTGACCTGGATTCTACTCGTGTATATCCTTTTAAACAGGTGTTTTACCGCTGTGGTGATAACTAGTGCGAATCCATGGAATGAGGTCGTGCAAGGAAATGGCAGCAATATTTTCATTGTTGCATATTGTGCCTTCTACTGTGCGTAAGGGACAACTTGGCAGCTGAAAGAGATGTCCATTGGCATACAGTATAGTCAAAGGTTAGCGATGAGACGTGACTTTCATTGTTCATCTATTGTACTTGAATCGTACCTCTAGGGGTCGCCTTGCATGACATGATTTCCTCATCGTGTTTCATTCTCTTAGACACACTTACAACAAATGTTGTCTGGTGAGCCATCTTTCTGTTTCTTCAGTAACATGATCTCTTATTGACTATGAACGATCTTCATCTACTTGCCATTGTCAACCCTCAGACATACTTACAAGAGCTGCAATAGGAGCCACCTTTCTGTTCCTTCCCCACCAGCACAAACGAAGTCGTGTTCTCAAATCGAGTAGAACACCTGTATGCGATTTGGATGGATAAGTTGTGATCCGCTGTAAAAGAAAACTTACCGGACAATGGCATCATATACATCACACTGGTTCAGGACTGATGCCGCAAAGAAGTTCTCTTTCGGAGATTTTTGAGAGGTTCATCACCGAAAGATGAGATTACTCATGTGATGGAGGACTGTCATACGAGGACTGTCTGACAAAAAAGAAAAAAAAACTGACGAAAAAAGGAAAAAATTGACAAGGCTCTGGGAAGCAAACAAATTAAGTGACAAAAATACTAAAAAAATAATAAAAATAAAAATGAGCTTTAGTCAATTATTCCCCAAATATAATTCTAGTTTTAATCCATTACGTGGGAGCGCTTCGGATTTGCTGGTCATCAGAATGTTTTGACTTTAGACAAGAGGTAGAAACGTCTACTCTAATTACATATTTACAGCTTCCTCGAACTCAGATATGACATATAACTGGTTCGTTTGTGACGTGCTGAGTCAGCTTCAACGTGTGTTGTTTAAGAGGCTTCTCTCACCATAAATTATGCGAAGTAATGTGCAAATCAAATTTTACATATCCCGAAGGAACGGGATTTCTGGTGAAGGCTGAGGCCACTTTGTTCAACTCCAGAGGATACTGATATTACACTCTAGGAAAGCAACCTATCCTCAGAGGGCCTTACTATTGGAAAGACACTCGGTGCTTAATCAATGGAGTATCGTAAGCTCACTAACGTTTACCCAGCCTTGCTCGATGCAGTAAGTACTTTAGTTTACCTTAACTTACATTGCTCACCCCAGAGAATGTCTGGTCATCCGAAGACATGAATTGCGTATCATAATTCATTCATTGATGGATTTGAGGGACATCAAGCTCCATAGAACACAAGAACATTACTACTCCCAAGTCACCAGCGGCCAAGTTCGTGGAAGTGACAGAATAGATCCAATTTCGTTTTAGAATGATATATATTTGCATTGTTAGTGATAGAAGGCTCTCCCCTATAGCGTAATCTAGCATTTTCCTGCATAAAATGTCCTAACAATCTGACGAAGAAAAAACAAATGTGTCATGCAGATATTAGGGGTGGTCCAGTCTAGTCACACTAGTTGATGTTGCTGTACATCTTGTGGAAGACATTTACACCGATCATGGGGCTTTGGTGCCACTAGATCCTCGGCAGTCTCTGTATCATACCAGATTGGTGTGTGAATGCTCAAATGTCGATCAGAATCTACAACAGTAGCAAAACTTGCAGTCATCTGTTGCTCAAAAAATTTTCTTTGCTTGCTTTGTAGGTTTTGAGCCCCAGTTATCTCGGAATCTTCCTTAGCGTTTTACAGACACAAACAAAGAGCATCTCAAATATCTTCTGGTCTCCTGTCTGTAATTACTGTTAAAATACCAGTAGTTACCACCTGACACACACAAAAGAGGACAGCTTAGCCAAGATTACATCCCTGTACTGCACTATAGTCAACTTAGCTCATATTCTGTGTCTTTAATCATAGTTGTAGTTTTAGTCCTACATACACCACATAGGGCATTTGATCTGATTATCTTGTCTTTGACTGGTGAAACGATGCCGAGTGGATAAGAAAAGATGGAAAGACCCATCAAGCAATACAAGGAAGAAATCAAACGGAAATCTGGAGCTAGCCCGAAAGTATCATAGTGAGAAATTTGTCCAATCTACTTATCCTTTCTTTAACACATTAGTGTAAAAAGAAGCGATGGCACCATTCACAAAAAAGAGGATGGCCTCAATCAGTTAAGCTGTCTCAAGCACAAATTCTTTCTGACAAATTTTCAACTCATTTAGCCTGTCATAACCACAGCTAGAGATAGTAATCGTCAAATCTGTTTCTAGAAAGTCAATCAAATGAGGGAATCAGGGGACGAACGGGGGAACGACCACGTCTCTATCCTCCATGTAATTTGAGGACCCTCCACGCATGCTAGAGTGTCCTGATGATCGCCAATTCAGAAAGTAACACCACTCGTCGAGCTGGCGTCAGTCTGAAGGAAAACTAATGCTGGTGGGACAAGTGCGGCAGCATATGCTGTGTTAAAAAGTCTTCGACAATCAAACGAGGAGCTTGGCATGATATACACTAGATTTCCATGCAGGCCTTGATGGATATCCCCATCCTTCTGTTTGTTTATTCGACACTTAATGGTCACTGGGATATATTAATAAACATGTCCGAACAATGAGCAGATTGATCAAATATTTCTAGAACACCAGTTAACCCTGATTTAACCCTGATTAAACCCTGACATAAGCGATGTGTGCAATGATAATCTAGATTTTTATGTGATTTATCGATCTGTGCAATTCTGATACGGTGATTGCACACTATCTGTGATTTACTTTAGTCAAGAAGTATCAATTGTTCTACTTATTACATCACCCAAAGCTGGCTGTACAGTAACGGTTGGTGTACTTCATAGTATAGTAACCAAGTTAGTTGATATATGTTTCAAAAGTGAATCGAGTTCTTAATTTAGGTAGTGAAGACATGTGAGTAAACTTACATAATTCAATTTATGATAATATTGGGACCTGGGCTCATACCACCCATTTTTTTTTATGAACTGAAGGGGTTTTTTATCCTTTATCACACGTTACGGAGCCCTCCATTTACCATTTACCATTAAATACAGAATTAAATAGTTTCGATATCAGTCGAAGTGAGGAAGGTAAGGAGAAGAGGCGGGAGCACTAAAGAGAGCAATCACGAGCATAGTGACAGGTCAGCCGGACGACATTCGACGTCCAGGTGGACCTGGGCCACGTCAGACGAGCCGGCCCGGGGACGAAATTAGCGGCGAGGGGGAGGAATTGGAATAAGAGGCCGGCATGGCAATGCAAATCTCGCCACCCACAAGTGCAGGGACGCACAGAGACGAGCAGCAGCAAGACGAGGTCATACTTGGATCAGCACTCAACCGATAGATTGCAGGCAGCGGGGAGGAATTGCGCTGATTAAGGAGCTCATCAGTCGCCGTGGACGATCGTCCGAGTCCGAACGAACCCATACCAACCCAGCGAAACGAACGAACGAGCCGAGCCAGCAGTCCCAGGAGCTACCAATAGATTAAATTCCAGTTCAGTGCAGGCGGAATTGAGTGACGATTGTGCCAGATAGATCAATCATCAGCATCATCAGACGATCAGATCCAGAACAGCTCGCTTCTCTCGTGACAGTTGCGCGTATATTTTCCTTATTTTCCAGCGCTGGTGTGAGCCCGGAAGAAGAGTTTCGTGACAGGAGAAGAAGAGTCGCCACGAGAAGACCGACGGCCGAGGAGCCAAAGGAGCGCGAATTCGGCTCGACACTGTTCGCTGCGCTGCGACCGTGAAGTCAGTATTTTAGGCGCCGAGACCAGTCATTGTCGGGGTGGTAGAGAAATTTCCAAGCTGAAGAGAGCGTGCGGAGTGGACTTCGTGAGCGACTCCGTTTCGATCAGGGGCGATATCCTTAGCTCTCGGCCGCAGCTGCCTGTACTCGCAATCCTGCACCCGCAATACGGCAAGGTCTTTGACCCGGGAGGATGGGCTCTCTGATGGCCGGCTGGCAGACCAAGCCCAGAAACGCCCAGCAAGGTGCGTGGTTTTCTTCTCGTGCCACTGAATCGCACAATTGCTGCTGCATTCCTGTGAATAGATCACGAAGCGACTGTAATCGAGCAGCGAATTAGACTTCCTTCCAAAACATGATTGCCCCTCGACTGGCACCGCTCGGAGAGAATTGTTGCAGAATTGCAATTCTGCAACGAGAGCGGCCTTGCGGCAGCTATCGAGTGCCGAGAAGGACACGTAGCTGTCCGAAGCCCTGGAAACCCGCTGCCTCCGGTGGCAGTGGGATTTCCCGTCACTCGCATACCGTCGTGTGTTTCTTGGGCTCGGAAGGCTGAGAGCGCTCGTTTCTCGTACCGCTCTTGTCCGTAGAATCGAACGAACTTTTTAACTCAACGTGGTTTACGTTTGTGTTGCAGCGGCTCTGAAGCGATCTACGTCATCCATGACCAATGACGAAGTTACCAGATACTGGCGTGCCAAGGAAAACTCCATCAAGGAGCATCTCGAGGAAGCGCAAATGGCCGCTGGCTTTTTCAAGGCATACCAAGTACGTATTTCTACGCTGTCCTCCCTTCTCTCCCTTCGTTGCTTCTACCACGGCAGTCGAAATTAAGACTCGGAGCGCTCGCACGGGCACGCCCCCAGAGCCCAACACCGTGAGGTTTACGCCGTCCCCGCACCGACCCTGTTCCTCCATGGCGCCATTGACCACGACGCCTCGGTTGTGCAGAAATTCGAGATGAACGACGACAGCTACGACATCAAAGAAGGCGCCGTGAGCCTCCTCCCGTCGGCACCGACGCTCAATGGTCCTCAAGACGCGGGCAAGGGTCGCAAAGCGGACTGGTGAGTGAGAATGCGTTAGAGTGTGGGCGTCTTTCGTTTCGACGTTCGCCGCCGAGACCGTGGACTGCGTGAGGCTCGTCACGCAGTCCTCTTCTGGGCGTTCTGTGAGCGTGAGCGAGAGATGTGCCATCGTCGTAGTACAGTAGTAGTAGTTGGGTGCGCGGGGACTAACGAACGTTGTTGGGCGTGGTGCAGGTGGACCAAGAGCAAATTCGCCTACCTGAATGAGCCGCCGCTGGTCAACGAGGGCAAGCAGAACCGGTACTTGGCACAGTTCGAAGTGGCAACGAAGGGACGCGATAATGTGATCGCCGCGAGGGCTCGCTGTCTACTCAACGCGAATAGCGCTTGCTTCTACAATTACTAAGCCCATCCGCTGCAGACCGACCGACCGACATGGTAACAGAAGCATGATCGCGCTGATTGCGTGTGCGTTTAGGACTATGCAAATCTGTCCAACTGTCCATGTAATGTGCTAGTGTATATAATAGTGGCCGGAGTGCCCTGGATAGATTGATTGATAGATGTCCATACTAGAGGTAGAGAGATTGAGCTCGAGGCGCCCCGTCCATGGAATCGAAGTAGAAACCTGTGGGCTGGGAGATTTGTTATTTGTTGTATAAAATAGGCGCTTGCAGGTACATCACAACACCAAAAAATGAGATGACAGAGCCTGTTCGGACCTGTTCGATTCCCTCGCGTAGATCGAGGTGTGGTTGAGCTTGGTGATGGTGTGGAAGATGTGTAGTGCTTTAGTCATTAGTTGTCACCATTTTGTACAAATACAGCAAGATCTGAGTCTGCTCCATGGTAGTCAGCATGGGTGTGGATCGGCAGGGTTAGGTGTGTAGGCGTGTAGGCAGACAGTGTAGGATAGCTGCGAGCTTCCGATTCTCCTATTAGTTACGGTCGCTGGAGCTTCGACCCCCGACAACGACGATGAAATCGATGATCATGAGTAGGAGATGAGCAGAAGTTCTCCATGAGATAACAATACGGAGTGCAAGTGGGCAGAGGCCCATGCAGTGCCATGTCAGGCCGTATGCCCACTGTCACTCCCACTTTCTTCACGCCACAGGCTTATGCCCACTGTCACCACATGGAAGCTCCTTACCGACACCCCGCTATTTCTGGACGTGTTGATCCTTGTGTGCAAAAGCTTGCTGGATGATCGTGGTCGGCAACGAGGATTTGGGTGCGACTTGGGTAGACCACAGATGTCCAAGTAGATACGTACTCGGCATAGAATATATAGTACGAACGAATGACCGTGCGGGTTCAGCTGGTCATTCGCTCGATCAAGTTGTGGTCTCCTGATAACCTTTTCATGTACCTCAAGTGAACCTTTTCAATACCTCGACCTCAGCTCTTTCACCTGTCCTGTTTTCAAGCGAAATCTGCCACCAATCCGCTCTGAGACGCTTTATGCTTCCATAGTCAATTTGTCCTGATCGGACGTTCAGTCCGAAGACCTCCTCCTACGCACACCAACACCGGTACCTTTTCTTTCATCATGATGATACATGTGTACAAACCAGCAATAAAAGGTCTGGCTGGGTTTCCACCACTTTGCCTTTCCTCTTCTATCATTTGAGTCATCACAGCTGATGGGCCTTCATCGTACAAGATTCGAGACTGATGTCGGGACATCTGCCCCACTTGAATGAATTTCTTGCCTGGAGACTCGAGAAAGAGAGAATTTGTCAGCCCTGGTTGAAAAAGGTGTGTCCGTCGCTGGAGGCAGATTTGTCTCTGGAGGCTACAAATCTTCTGGAGCAATCTTGTGTTTGGACTTTAGCTTAAAGCCGCAGTGGTGACAGGTACCGCCGGTCTAGGACAGGCTCAGATGGGGTTTGGAAAAGACTCTTGCCTTGACAAATTTAAAGACTCAACTCGTCACAGGGTTCAATTCGGTCGTCAGTTGGATAATGGGGCCAAAGAGAGATCTCTGGCAACCATCATCACCGAAAGCAGCAACGGTCCAACAGAAAAGGAGATGGGAGTGAAACAAAGGGATACAGACTTTTGCTGCTTGGCCCACTCTAAAAAAGCAGAATCGAGAATCGTCCTTTTCAAAAACTGTGCGAAAAGTCTGATGCAAAATCACGCACTGCAACGTTTGGGAATGTGCATTCGACACCAGAAGTATCTCGAGGTTTTCCGTGTGAATCGAAAGGAACTCCGTCGAGTTATCCTACACGCGACAAGCTGAATTGAAGCTTCAGTTACGAGAATCAATCGGCGTCATCGTAGATTGCCACAGCTTTCCTCCTCTACTGGATTCCCAAGGGTTTAGGGTTCATTCTATCCAATATTGACCCCGAGAGTTCCATGTCGAAGCACCGATCGATCAGTCCCCCACGCCTTTCTGCTCAAGACCTGGTCATTTATTATTTAAATTGCCTTCTATTATCTTCCCCCGCGAGGAAAAAAGGCCTTAGCCTAAGCACCACGGATTCTATTGAGAGGATTAAATTTAGCGGTTCTCTCTCCCCTTGTTGGAATCCTTCCTATGATCTTTGAGTTGCTCTTTCGAGACACAAGAGTGACGGCAAGCTCTTACATGCATAGTATCATAAGAGGGTAAGGTTCCTGTCGTAAAGATTAGAACGCTGGTTAGTCGTATTATTGTGGCTAGAAACGTACGATTGCAATGTAAGTCGATGGCTCGTTTCCAAACATATAGCATGCACTACTGAACGCACACGACAGTTTCCTCCAATCTACCGGGCCAAGTAAATGCAGAAATCCCTATCTACTGTATAGGGATGTAACATAATATAGTAAATGGTAAATAGATCAGCCCGTGGTACCCAAAGGTCCAAAAACACTTTACAAAAAATCGAATACCAATATAGTAAAGAACCAAAAGAACACACTGGCTAGTGCCAAGAGCATTAGAACGATAATTAATAATATCTCTAATATAACAACCTAAATCATAAGATTCAAGTTGAAGCATTTACCATTTACCAAGCAAAGAATAGATTTTTTCAACAATAACTTTATGAGCCAATCTAATCTCTATATATCTAGTACAAGTAAGAAACACATGTTCTTCATACTCAACATTTCTCCCATCACATAGTCTACAAACCCGTTTACTTCTATCAATATTCAACCAACGTCATTCTTCAATTTGAAGTCTATGATATGGCAATAATATGACGTAAATATGTATAGATCTCAGCAACAAGATATCCTTGCTCACAATAAATAAGCATAGGATTCACATGAAGTTGATAAAACTGCATTTTGGTGTTTCGTCTGCTTCATATGATGTTGAGAAATTGCTCTCCATTGGGCCATAGGTTGTAGATCACAATCCAGTTCCGTCACATTCTACTTAAAGACCAAGTCATCACATCTGCAAACCATGTCTTGGAACTTGTGGCATGCAAAGCATGAAGAGTAAGACGAGAAGCATCAAGAGATTTCACCCTTCTAATATAAGTGATGGTCAAGTAAGCTCCCACTTAAGTACGCACTTTTTCAGAGGATTTTCACGGATCAACATTTTCAACGATTTTACTATAAACTTTAGAGATTTCAATATTTTTGACGATTTCATTGTAAATTTCAATGATTTCAGTGTACAGTTCAAAGATTTCACTATAAATTTCAACAATTTTATTTCACAGTTCAAAAATTTTATTGTAAATTTCAAATATTTCAATGTGGTAAATGGTAAATAGATCAAGCCCATGGGACCCAAAGGGTCAAAAGGCTAAAAAACACAATACAAACAATCCAACTCCAAACTAGGAGAGAACCAAAAGAACCTCATAGCTAGTGCCCAAAGCACTAGAACGGTAACTAATAATATCTCTAATGTAACAACCTAAATCATAAGGCTCGAGTTGAAGTAGAGAAAAGAAATTCTCGACATCAACTTTATTCGCCACTCGAATCTCTATATATCTAGTACAAGTAATAAACACATGCTTTTCATCCTCAACATTTCTCCCATCACATAGCCTACAAATCCGTTCACTCCTATCAATATTCAACCAACGTCCTTCCTCAATTCCAAGCCTATGAGATCATGTTCTATGTCTGGCAATAATATAACGTAAAGATGTAGCGATCTCTGCAACAAGGTACCCTTGCTCACAATAAATAAGCATAGGATTCACATGAAGTTGATAAAACTGCATTTTAGTGACTCCTCTCCTCCAAATGATGTTGAGAAACTCCTCCTTAATAGGCTCGCGAAGGGCCATAGGTTGCAGATCCCAATCCAATTCCGTCACATTCCACCTCAAAGACCAAGTCATCACATCTGCAAACCATCCCTTGGAACGTGTGGCACGCAAAGCATGAAGAGGAAGTCGAGAAGCATCAAGAGATATCACCCTTCTAATAGGTAATGGTAATGGTAAATAGATCAAGCCCGTGGGACCCAAAGGGTCAAAAGGCTAAAAAACACAATACAAAGAAACCAACTCCAAACAAGGAGAGAATCAAAAGAACCCCCTAGCTAGTGTCCAAAGCACTAGAACGGTAACTAATAACATCCCTAATGGTAAATGGTAAATGGTAAATGGTAATAGATCAAGCCCGGGGGACCCAAAGGGTCAAAAGGCTGAAAAACACAATACAAGCGACAGCCACAAACAAGGGAAAAGACCCCAAAGGCCAAACCCTAGCTAGTGCCAAGAGCACTAGAACGATAACTAATAATGTCCCTAATGTAAGAACCTAAATCATAAGGTTCAAGCTGAAGCAAAGAATAAAAATTCTCAACTACAACTTTATGAGCCACTCTAATCTCTACATACCTAGTACAAGTAAGAAATACATGCTCTTCATCCTCAACTTTTCTTCCATCACATAGCCTACAAATACGTTCACTCCTATCAATGTTCAACTCCTAAATTTAGTGGAACGTTGGAGTAGGGCAGGGCGCATCAGCCTGCAAAATTTCAAGCAGAACGCCATTTGGAGCGAGAAGTTGACGTGTCTTGGAGGTCTGAGCTTTTTGAGAGGGGAGGGCCGAATCTTGCAGGGGCCGTAACTTTGAGCTCAAGTGTGAACGGAGGCTGAAATTTTGTGGCGTTGTGACGTTGGGTAGAGCGCTCAAGCTTGTCAATTTTCAGGTCGAACGGAGTTTTGGAGTCAGAGTGCGTCCAATTTTGAGTTTTGAGCTTTGAGTTTCAAGATTTGAGGGCAAGAGATTCTTACGGGAGCTGTATCTTCTACGTTCGGAGTGATCTGGAGCTACAATTTGGTGAAACGCTGGAGTAGGGCAGGGCGCATCAGCCTGCAAAATTTCAAGCAGAACACCATTCGGAGCGAGAAGTTGACGTGTCTTGGAGGTCTGAGCTTTTTGAGAGGATTTGAGGAGCTTTTTGTATGTAGGACGAAAACCGGCTTGGGCCTTTGCTCTCTTCTGAAAATCCTCTGTCCATGTGCTCAACTTCGATTCTACCAACTTCCCAAACAACTTGGCAAAAACACTACCAACCATGATGGTGCGATAGTTTGTCACCACGTACTTCCTTCCTGATTTATGAATAGGAACAATCTTCCGCATGCTTAGTGAGAATCGGTCCAATACAATCTCCTCCCCACTTGATAAGTTCAATGGACAAGCCATCTAAATCCTCACATTTGCCATTTGCTAATTTTCGGAGAATAGTCATCACCTCTCCTTCCGAAAATAATCCAGGTGTTGCTTCGCAATATGGCAGATGTGGCTTCTGGAAAGAAATAGAGCTTTTCGGCAAAAGCTACCAAAGACTCGGAATCAAGAGAAGGTTTTGACGATGGTGTAGCTAATCGTCTCCAAAAGGACTTGGGATCCTTCATCAGGTCCTTTGTCAAGGATTCTTGCTTTCGTCTTAAGAAAGCTCGTTTCTTAGACTTCACCAAGTCTTTGTATATCCTTGTCAAAAGAAGCCGACTTTGAATATCCAAAGACCTATCAACAGACCTTGCCCTTGCTAGCTTGCATTCGGAGTCAAACCATCCATTGCAAGGTAGCCCCTTAGCAATCCTAGTACTATGCCTCAAAAAGAACTTCGATGCAGAAGTTTTGAGCAATTCTATGAGCTGTAAACTAGCGGTATGCGAATCTGGACTCCATATGGTGTGAGTCAAAAGATCTTGTAGATGTTCTGCATAAAGGTCTCTTTTACAAGGATCTAAGCGAAACTTGGGAGAAGCTAAAAGAGATTGGCAAGGTGAAGTAGAGATTGATTTTGACATTGAAAGTGTGAACAAAAGAGGTGCATGATCTGATTCAGGTTGAGGATCCAAAACATCAAAATTGGAGATCAGAGAGGTACTAACCAAGGAAGACAAGAGAAAATCTATTGTGCTAGCATCGGTAGGGGAAAAACAAGTATTGGACTGAGAGTTGGGAAAGCGAGAGGTTCCATTGAGAACCTTCAAGTTTAGAACTTAGAAGAACTTAGAAGCAGAGTTTTGGAGCAACTCTGTTAGTTACAAACTAGATGTATGTGGATCAAGGCTCCAAGTAGTACAAGTCAAGAGGTCTTGGAAATGTTCACTATAAAGTTGCTTCTTACTAACATCTAAACAAAACTTGGGGGAAGTAGAAACATAGTGACATGTAGGGAGAAGG